CCCGCTTCGCCACGCATAGCTCACCCGGCCCCCTCGACTCCGTCTCCTGAAAAACACAATGGGGGCGTGAGCAAACCACTATGCTCCGCAAAGACCAGTACTGAATAAAACATCATGTATAATAACGTGTCATGAGCATAAATATATAAGAGCTGAAACTATAAACTTTTCTTTTCTTTCTTTATTGTGGTCAAAAGACCCTCGGCCTCGGCCGCTCGTGTGCACACACCAATGGGATATTAAGGCCCTCGGCCTCCACCGGTACCAGGTAAAACTCGAAAGGCCCTTAGGTCGGCCAATCACCTGGAAATACTAACTGTCTCGAACATACCTCTGCCATGGTACATATATTATATATAATGTGGAATCCAGTACATGACCCCCACCTGATAACTGAACTGATGCAAGTGCTGACTGGAGTAGCGGTCGGAGGCTCGACTCTCCTTAGGCTACATAAACATTTAAGCAAAATAATGCTAAGTATAATGCTTGGAATATTTAATTATATGCTAAAGTGCTCGGACTTATCTACGCGATTAAACTGGACTGGACTGGTTCGGAAAAATAGTAAATTCTGAAAAGACTCAAACCGGAAATCACGAATCAAAACAGACTCGAACCGCCGGTCGAACCGGCCGGTTCGCTGACTGGCCAGATCGCCGGCTCGGCTGGACCGGGCGGTCGGGCGCTGGCTTGGGCTGGCTGACTGGGCTCAGCTGACCCGGCTCGGGTCAGCACTGGACTTGGCACGAGGCTCTGGCACAAGACCTCATGCGCTAGGACTTGGCACGGACGCTGCCGGGTGTCGTGCGCATGGACCGTGCACGCTGGGTGCCGTGACCACGCATGCTGAGGCTTCTCGGGCTGACTCTTCGCAGGGCACGAGCGACTGGGCTCGGGACCATGTGCGCATGGCGTGGACATCGCTGTCGGGCGCTGCCGGAGGTGTTGGGCGCGTCTGGCACTGAGACCTCGGGTACTACGTGGACAGGCGCTGCTGGCGCGCTGTCGCGGACGCTGGTACCTTGCGCACGCTGGCGCGGGCACGGACTGGCACTGGGCCGGGCACTACCGCGCTATGTGCGCGGACAGTGACCAAGGTCGGCCCTTGTCGGACCTCCGGCGACTTTCTCCGGTGACCTGCATGACATATGAACTTAGCATGATAAAATAGGCACAAATATGCTATGAAACACTAGTGGACCCCGGGTCCACATGCATGCTACTCGTTAGGGCATATATGGCATGTACGAGCACTTGACGTCCGAACCAACATTCATAACTTACAAAATTACTCAGGGCCGAATGTTATACATCACAAATGATGACTATAATGGCTAACACTTAAGTCATATCATGCATGCATGAGGATGGGCCTCGGGTGGCCAAAATAGCATATTTTCATGAATGATTTGACTAAGGTAATGAACTCCATTTACATTCAAATTTTTACACCATCAATGACATGATATTTAAGGGTGATTTAGCTAATAATCTCGACTTTAACATGCTTGCTACTAAAATTTCATTTTTAAGGCTATTAATTCATTAAATTTGAAACATGCTTATAAACTCATGCCTGGCTCGATTTTACTTCATGATAAATCATATTATATCATAATATGGCTAAATAACTCAAGAAGCACGAGCTTACCTCGGCTGGAAATGGAGAATGAAAGCTAGGGCTCAAATGGTGGCTAGGCGCGGCTTTAGGGATTTGGTTGGACTTAGGATGCATTTTGCACGGGCCTTTGTCTTCCAAAAGACTTAGAAAAATCTAAGTAACACTTAGAATATGCTAGGCCCTGAGAGATTTGGCTTGGACAAGGCTGAGGCGCGGTGGTGGTCTTCCCCGGGTCTGCGCGCGCTAGTGATGGCAGTTTTTGTTTTGATTGAGCTATCTCTGATTTTTCTCAAGGTATGCTCGGGCTTTTAGTTGTGTAAGAGCTTACAAGGGACTAAGGAAGGCTTCTTAAGTACTGGTTTGGGCGGAGATAGCTAGGTGACTTTGTGGGGGACAAATGAAGGGGGATTTTCATCTCATGGCATGGAATTTAGGTCCAAGAACTTGGGCATGCTTAAGGGCTGACTTTGCACGGTCTTTGAGCCTATTTTAGAGTATAAAAATCATGGTGGAGAGGTCAGGCCAGATTTGGCATGGGGGTGGGGGATAAGGACAAGCACAAGTGATTAAAAAAAATGAAAGATTCCTCATGCACTACTAATTAAATATTGTCCATGATAGATGCCTATGGTTAATCTTTTGTTAGGGCAACTTAAGCTTAATTAGATCCTCATTAGGTCCTAATTACACGCTTGAATTGGGTCATGAGAGAAGTGGGCCGGAAATTATGAAATTGGGCTCAAGGAGGTGGGCTGGGCTGGCGCGAGTGGGCTGCTGGCTGGCGCGGGAAGGTGTGTTGCACTAGTGCTGGTGGCCTTCGGCCGAGTATAGGGCTTAGGTAAGGGTCTCCACACTTAGAAAAAATTTGCAAAGTGATGCTAAGGCTTAGGACATGGCCTTGGGCTTGGTGGCATGTTCTTGGGCGCGGCTAAGGGCGCGCGGGCAAGGCTCGGCACGGGTGGCTCGGGTATGAACTAGGGCTCGATTCTAACATGTCCGAGACTTACTTCTTGATATTCTAAGACTTAGAAAAATATTCTAAGTATAAAATATCAAGACTCGGCTAGCCTCGGAAAATTTCTAGAAAATGACTCGGAACCATACTAGGGTTCGGAGTTGATAATTTCTCGAATCAACTTGCTATTATTTAACAACCCAAATTAATGGATTAATCTTAAGTTAAACTTGATATAGAATTATTCAAAGAATAATTTATCATATTTGAGCATTTAGCATACTAAGTATAACTCGGGAATTTCTGAAAATTACGGATTTCACTTCTAGTCGAGCAGTGAAACCGTTCTTACTATTATTACTGATTTGGGGCGTTACACAATGCCTCTTTAATTTCATCCTCCTCGACCTGGACCTCAAGAGCGGCATTCATCTTTGAGTTTATGGATACTGGAATGTTTTCCAATATGCCTTCTGTTTTCGTAGACCCTTATGTGGTAAACAAATTGTTGTAGAACTGTGTCACGTGGTCTGTAATCTCTTGCGGAGTCTGGTGGATATGATTCTCTGAGAAGATCATCTGGTGATAGCATTAGTCCTATGTTGATCACATGAAAGAAATGCGAGTTCCTATCCCCCTCCCGAAGCCACATATTCCTTGATTTCTGCTGCCAATGGATTTCTTCTTGGGTATGGAGCACTTCAAGCTCTCTTCGGATGTGTTCTTTGTCTTCCTAATACGCTCCTCCGGTTTGAGATTTAAGCTCCGCCAATCTCAAATTAAGTTGCAGGATTTTGGTCTGATTGAGCCATCTGAATTTAGAGCTCCATTTCAAAAGTGCCACCCTTATTTGTTTGACTTTCTTCTTAACAATTAGACTTGTCAAAATGGGCTGGCGGGGCAGACCGTGCCGCAGCCCGCCAAAACCCCCCATTTGGCGGGGCGGGGCAGGCCTCTAAATGGCCAGCCCGGCCCACCCCCACCACGGGCCGCGGGCTAGGCGGGCTGGCCCACCAATTTTTCAAAAAAATAAATATATAAATAAAACCACATGCTGCAGATTGAATAAATAAGGCATAAGCCATCTACTGCTAGATTGAAATGACATTAGCGACTATTCAATGTTTCACTCTTTATTTATTTTAATCTGTTTTCATTTTTTCTAATTTTAGGACTTAATGAAAAAATATATATTAGAAATCATATATGAGAAATATTGAGAATGAGATTCATAAAAATCAGATTTAAAGGCATGCACGCGGTTCCTTTTCAATACAGAGTTACATAACATACATTAAAAAATATTTTTTTTCCTGTAATGGCGGGCCAGCCCGCGGCCCGCCTGTCTCGCCCCGCCACCGCACGGGCGTGGCGGGCCTATAAAATACCAACCCAACCCGCCTATTTGGCGGGGCGGGGCGGGCCGCCCGCCCAGGCCCGTTTTGACAAGTCTATGAACAATGAACATGGGTGTTCCCGCACCTGTAGCCCGCCAAACTTTTGCCACCACCTCCGTGATACCTTCTTGCTTCAGCCAGCGTTTATCGAATTGGAACCGTTTACCTCGGCATTCTTCTATGGTGCCGGTGTCAATAATCAGCAGGGAATGGTCTGAGGCACTCTTCTCCTCCACTACTGACGTCACTCTAGGAAAAGACATGAACCCCTCATAACATCCAAATGCTCTGTCTAATTTAGCCTCAACCCACTCTTCTGCTCACCTATTATTGGCCCATGTAAACTGATACCCATCCATCCTAACCTCCTCCATCTCCATGTTTGATATAAAATTGTTAAAAGCCACGTACCTACCCATTCCCCTCTCAACTCCTCCTCGCTTATCTTCTGGTTTCCAGATATCATTCCAATCGCCGGTAATAAGCCATTTACTCCCCCAGTTCTCTTTATCCTCTTGAAGAATCCTCCATTGATCTTCTCTTACAACTTTGATGGCATGCATGTAAACATAGACCCCCCACTCTTCTCCCCTCCCTTCTCCTTAAACTCAACTGCCACATAAAAATCTTTGCTAACTAGATTAATAACTTCCACATTTTTATCCCATAGTAGTAGTAGACCTCCTCTTAACCCCACAGGTTCCACCATAAAACACTGATCTTGATTGCTCAACTTCTTAGTCACTGACTTAACAAAATGCTTAGATTTCTTAGTTTCGGACAGGAAAACATGGGTGGTGAGTCCTAATCGACTATCGGATTTTGGAAACTGTAGAGGGCCCACCCAGCCCTCTACAATTCCACACCCCAACTTTCATGGTTTACTTGGGTGCCATTCCAGGCTGGCAACCCCCACCTTACTTATGGATGACTTTCTCTTCTTCTCCTCTGGCCTGTCCTCCCCTTTGATAATCTCCTTACTTGTGATATGTTGCTCATCTGCTCTGTTTCTTTTAACTCCCCCTTAGTAACTCATTTCCACCTCTGAAACAGGAAGTCTGCTAAGTGTGCCTTCTCTAGGTCCTTGTCTCTTCCAAGTGGTGATTTGCTTCTGGACTTTTTGTATTGGTTTCCATATTGACCCTTTGTGGTGAGTAATACCCACATCTGCCTCAATTTCCATCTCTTCTTCTGTTATTACTGGATGAGTCTTGAGAGGTCTGGGTGAGGTGTTGGCTGATATGAGCAGATCTTTTAGATCACTTGAGCTGTGGACTATCTCTTGTAAGGACCCTTCATTATCCACTGGCACCATGGACGAGCAAAAGTTAAACTCTCTATCCACTTCCTTTGACTGAAACTACACATCTTGATCTTGTGTTCCTGCTCTACTGGATGAGGCATTAGTACCTTCTTTGTCTTTAGGTTCCTGAGTGGTCTCTTGATGGCCTGATTGTCTAGAACCTCAATTAAAGACTTCCACCCATTATTGACCCTCCACTGCCGTCATCCATTCCCCGTACTGACCATCTCTTAAATTACCTTCCTCGATATCCTCTAGTCTTTTACGGAAACTCCGGTCCAGATGCCCAATTTTGCCACAATAGTAGCATAAGTTGACCAGTTTTTCATACTTGAAACGCACACAAACAATCTCTTCCCCTAATCTGATCTTTATACATCTGGGTAATGCAACATCAAGTTCCAAAGTAGCATGGATTCGAATCATTTTTCCCCCATGGTTGCCTGCACTTGCCACTACCACATTCTTCACCTTTTTGAACATTCTACCAATTTTTAGACCTACCACCGCAGTTATCCGATCCAGAGGCACTTCTTGAACCCAAATGTTTAGTTCCTTAAAACCCACATGAGAGCTACACATACCTGTTTTCCATTCTTGCAGAATTAGGAATTGATTATCAAAACTCCAGTTATATCCATCCACTACTCTTCTCATATCATCTTTAGAATGAACTGGAAAAAATTCGCACTCAACTCTTTAATCTCCATTGGATGTTGGAGCCGCCAAATCTTAGACATCGTTCTCTTCTTACCGATCCAGCTAGCTCGACGATCCCCTATAATTTTACCAAACAGGTTCCTATGATATTCATCCTTGCTCAATAGGAAATCCTCCTCGGCCAAATCAATCACCGAAACTTCCCCCTTTGACAAAGAGACATTTCGGAATTTTCTCGCAATGTCCTCGTCGGCCCCCAAATCCCCCCTTTCACCCATCCCCAATTGAAACCCTACCTCAAACTTCTAACCCCTCTTAATGGAAACAGCCAACACCGTGAGACTAACAACCCCGACAAACCAAACTATCAATCTACCCGCTCTCACCGAGAGAATCACGATCGTTTTCACTAGAAAGACAAGAACCTGCGCTCACCCGAGAGACAATTCTTTTTTTTTTTCGAAACGATAGAAAATTTATATAACAAATGCACAAATGTGCAAAGATACAACTTAGAATGCAGCCCAAAATTGAATAAAATGGGAGGACAGGTCTGACGACCGCCTAGAATCCCGACTCTAGCAAACGCTAGAAACCAAAACAAGACACTCAAGACAACAACACAACAGCACAAAGAAAAACTACAACGAAAAGCTCCCCACAGGAGAATAGAGCAGGAGCTAGTCCCCACAGGATATTAAATTGCTCCCGCTCAAACTGAGGCCAACAGCCCAGACCTAAAATACATAACATAAGCACACAGGCAAAGTGCCTAGACCAAAGACACAATACTACCACAAAATACAACAAACACACAAAGACAAAGGAGAAAAGAAGCCCTTCCACAGCAAATCAATCGAACCAAACCAACAGAGAACAGTCAATATCAAAGAATGATCAGAGTCTAGGGAACCACTTCCGAAACTGCCACAAGGCCTACACAAAACCAAACCCGAACACAAACTAAACTCCGAAAACCGATCCGCCACCAAATGGAGGAACAAAATGAAACCATCCCCCACACCAGCTCCAACCAAACCTGTCTAACACCACTAGTCGAGCTCGAGAGGAACCAATCCCTCGCCGCCTAACACCACTAGCCGAACGGAGAACGGTGAAGGTGGTTGGGCCACTCGACGTCGGCCTCCCCGACATTGAAAACACCTCGGCATCCAGACCAGCGCCCCACCCATAGCAGCATTACTCCACCCATCAAAACCACCAACCCTACATCGACCAGAGCCCGAAAATCCAGTCGGAAGGTCGTGGCCAACCAATAAGATCCCCAGCAACCCCAATCTCAACCCAACACAGCCAATAGACATAAGCATACCTCAAGGGCGGCCCAAGAAGCCGGAGGATCGCTGTCAAAGATTTCGATTGGAGAGGCAAAGTCCCATGCTCTGACCGCCACAACTAAATTCGTTGCAACCGTCAGGGCCTCGACCCATCCACAGACCCTCGTCCCTCCCGACGCCACCACTGACCACCGAATTCGGTGATCAACTCACTTGGCTTCGCCTGAAAAAAGCAAATTCATCGGTGGGAGGGCCGCGACGATCTAGCAGCCTTCAGCAGCATCGGAGACGAATCGGTATTTGGGATGGGCCGAGCAGTTGAGGACGACCACAGGCCTGAGTCTGCCGCCGCTAAGGAAGGCCGGACGATGGAGGATTAGAGCAGCGACGCCGGGGTGTTTTGAGAGAGAAAAGGGGATTGGGTTTAGGGAGAGAAAAACTCAGTTTTTTCTATGTATACAAAAAGACAATTTGTTGTTTTTGATTTTTATACAAAATATACTGCAAATATTTGATTTTTTATAATTTAATAATATAAATAACAGTTGGATAAATGACCCGTTGATTTATTATTTTAATACCAAAATTATTAATTAGTTATATTTTTCAAGCATTAATTTTTAAACGCCTGAGTGATAAACATACCAATTATTTTAAGTTATTTTATTCTAAGTACAATTTATTATACATACATTTATATTTTATTACATGAATAACTTCAGACGAATTAATTATTTTTAAATTAATATTAAATAATAAATTTAAGTTCACATTATGTATGCAATATTAACTAATAAACTTGTTAATACTTTAGAATGATTATCTCATAGACTAATTACTGTTCACACATTATTAATACCACATAACTTAATATTAATATGGATTAAGTAGAAATCAATTAATTAATTAATTAATTTTTTAAATATTTAATCAATATATTTAGATAAATTATTGATATTACATTATATAAAATAAAAATAAAAGTCTAACCACAGATGATAAAGAAAAAATTAGCAATTTTTTAAAAATGGAAAATTTAAAATAATTTCCTTTTTTAGTAATTGTTTTGCGGGAAAAATACAAACATATATATATATATATATATAGAGAGAGAGAGAGAAGGGATCATATGAGAATGAGGGATAGTGAAAGAAATAAGAATGTTTATGCACCATTGGATCCACCAAACCAATGGTCATGATCAAGTCAAGATTAAATAAATAATTGTTAAATATGAGTGGCAGTATTGTTAATACGGATATAAATGGTGGTCAAAGATATGCTTTTAGCCACTCACTAGGGATAAACTAGTCATCAGATATCTATTAAAAAATTAAACACCAATAGTGGACCCCACCAATAACCCTTCCCCTCCCCAACCTCACACACACAAACACACACACATACAAATCTGATTTTCACGCACGCAGGTCTCTCACACACACACACATAGCGGCGCTCCATCCCACAGCCACCGCCCGTCATCTCCGACCTCACCCAGCGCCGCCCCGCCATCGCCAGATCCCGCCACCCACCACTAGTCGCTGCCCGTACGCCACCCGCTGCCGTCGCCAATCGCTATTCGTCTGTCGCCGCCATCGACATCCGTCTGTCGTCGCTGTCGCCATTCGTCTGTCACTGCCGTCTCCATCCGTCTGTCGTCGTCGTCGCCATTCTCAGCCCACCATTGGCATCCCGCCTCCGCCTCCGTCATTATCGCGGTCGTCGGCCCCTTCAATGGCATGAAACTTCTCCGTGTCCTGACCGCTCGCCGAAAAATCGCCGGTGAATGTCGGCGGCGAATAACAGGCCATCGTCGGCCGTCAATAACCACTGCAATTTTGGTCGGATATAGCATCTGTCATCATGTGTGTGTTTGAGTTTTGGGGTTGTTTTTGTGAGAATTTGATTTATTATTGGGGTCTAATTGCAATTTCTGAAAGTTTGTTACATTTTTTAATTGAGTACAATTAGGCAAATTGATAATATAATAAAATCTTAATACATGCACAATAATACATAAAATGCACTATATTAATTTTTTACATTTCAATAGAAAATCATATCTTAATATTTTTATACAAAAAATATAAAAAATATAGTTTTAATATAATTTGGTTTTTATTTTAGTTATTCAAATAAAAAAATGATATCGTACCGAAGTACTTGATTTATAAAAGAATACTAATAATAATCGAAAAAATATATAAAATTTTGTACCGAATTTATGTTCGTTGGATCTCGTTCGATTTTGTGCAATCTTAGACGTTTACGTGCAATTAATATAACCATGATGTTCACTTGCAGTACATAAAAAAATGTATTAATGGTTTCTTATTAAAAAAAATATAATTGAAAATAATTGGTAATATTTTTCACATAGTTCGGCATGTGTAGTTATTTTATTTATTTAAAATGACTAAATCTGACATTTAACCAACTAATATTATTCAATCGATTAGTAGAATTACCGGATTTTTTGGTACGCGTATCCTGTTGTGTTATAAGGTGTAATATGTCGTATTATAAAGTACAACATATTTCTATATAAAGTGCAACGTATTGATATATAAAGTGCAATTATGTAGATCCGATATTTTAGATGTGACATTAATTGTGGAGTGTGTAGGTAAAGTGCAACGTGTCGTATTATAAAGTGCAACTTGTTGTTTTATAAAGTGCAACATTCCGCTATATAACGTGCACTAATTTATACTCTCACATATAATTATGTGTATTCGGAAAATTATTTAATAAATATAATTGTACACTGAATTAACTTAAATCATTAAAATAACTTTTTATTTATTATTTTTATTACACCATTTACTTATTATTATAAAAATATTTTAATATTTTACATTATTTCAATTGTAGAGTGTAGTGATAAAGTGCAACGTGTTGATTTATACAGGGCGGTGTGTTGTTTTACAAAGTGCAACGTTTCGACATATAAAGTGCACTAATCTGTAATTTCCCATAAAAATTGTGTGTATGGAATAACTATTTTTAATATATATAATTGTAAATCGAATTAACTTATATAATTGCCTAAATTAGCACCTCAAGAAATTATCTCCTGTGAGATTGGCTCCGGCGATTATCTTCTGTGAGATCGGGACTCCATTATCTTAGCTTGCTCTCTTAGATCTTCATGATTATTTTAATGCTAAATGGCGGACCAACACTGTGTGGGAAGGGATGAGGATTTGGCGGACTTATTTCAAAGCTTCTCTTTCTCAGAGAGAGAAAACTCCATGGTAGATATTGTGAATGAAGATATCCGACTTAGCGCGGAGGAATGCCATCGGAGTTTGTTTGGGATAGTGGTGGGGGACCGCAAAGCCAGCTGGATAGGTATTAAGCGGACGATGAGTAACATTTGGAAATTGCAACGCCCTATGGAGGTTAAGGAACTGGGGCACAATTTTTTCCAATTTCTGTTTCAAAACCGTGATGACGTGAAGAAAGTAGCTGGTGGCACCTGGATCTTTGGGAATCAATATTTGATTCTCAAAGAATGGGAACTTGGGATGACCCGCAAACACGCAGGATTCCAGGAGTTGAATATTTGTGTACAAGTAATCAATCTTCCATTAGATTGGTTAAGCGCTGAAGTTGGGCTCAAGATAGGCAAGGTGTTTCCTCAAGTGAACAATGTAGTGATAGTGAATTCTGGGAATCGTGATGGCAAAATTCTCAGACTGCAAGTTACCATCAATATCAATGAACCAATTTCGAGATGCACTAGAATCAGATTGAGGGAACAAATGGTCACAGTTGGCTTTAAATATGAAAAGTTAGTAAATTTATGCTACTACTGTGGTGTTTTAGCTCACCTTGACAGAAGCTGTGGGAAGAGGCTACAAGATATTAAGCAACATACTCTCCGAGATGGGCAATATGGTGAATGGATCAAAGTGGATGAAAGCCAAGCCTGGCCAGGGTCTAGTTTCTCTGGATCTAGACAATCTCCTTCTAAAGGCCCAACACCTACAGATACTGTGAAACATCAGCACACTAGCTCCTCATACCAGCAACCTGAGAGCCCACAACAGCTCCATATGCAAGAACTACCTATTGAGGGCTATCACATAGACACAGTTGCATCTACATCAGGGATACAAGGATCTCCACCACAGGCTCACATTAATGGGCCAGAACAGGGGACCCTAGTGTCTAAGCCATCAATGGAGCTAGACACCATCAGTCCACAGAATCAGGAGGCACCAAAAATGATGGAAGTGGAATTGGCTATAACTACATCTCACAAGGGGAATGCAGAAATGTCTAAGGGGATAGTCATTCCAAAAGCTTCAACTTGGAAAAGAGCAGCTAATAAAGAAGGAAGACTTTAGAGAATGGAGAATAATGCCATTGTTCCATTCTTACCAACTGGTTCGAAGAGGAGCAGAATGGATCAGGAGACTAAGAACTTGGAGGAGGAGGGGGATGAACAAAAACAAAATATAGCAAAAGGGAAGAAACTTAAAGCAGCTCAGGAAAAGGTGGGGGAGGCCAGCCTAGAGTGGCTCCCACAGTCTAAATGTTAGCTGCGGTGTGGAATTGTTGAGGGCTGGGTGGGCCCTCTACAGTTTCCCAAATCAAAGGGTCTTTTATAACCCACCACCCAAAGTTCTTCTTTCTTTCTGAAACTAAAAACTCAATTCTTTTGTGAAGTCTGTTTGCAGCAAGCTTGGATTTGCTGATAGGAATGTTATAGTGGACCCCAGGGGACTGAGTGGTGGTCTTCTTTTGATGTGGAATCAAGATGTGACTATAATCCAAGTGGTCACTAAAGAATTCTATATAGCAGTGCATTATTATTTACATGCTGAGGACAAGGGTTGGGCCATTTTTGTGTACTTAAATACTGACAAAGCTACCAGGGAATTGCAATGGATGGAATTAGAGGAAGATAGGTCTCAATGGGGAGATTTCTGGTTCATAATGGGAGATTGGAATGCTATCTGTTCTATGGAAGAGAAGAAGGGAGGAAGATTGAGGCAAGCATCCTACTTCTCAGGGTTCAACAATTTTATCAATAATATGGACATGGAAGAGGTTAGAATGGAAGGCTACCAATTCACTTGGAGAAACAATAAGGAGGCAGAGGGATTTGTTGAAGAAAAGTTGGACAGGGGTTTTACTTCCTTTGACTGGCTTAGTTCTAATCCAAATGCTAAAATTCTAAATGAGGTGGGAAGTGCCTCTGACCATTCAATTCTTTTGCTTCATCCTGGAGACATGGTAGTGAGACAGAAAAGAAGATTTCTATTTGACAGAAGGTGGATTGACAGAGAAGGGTTTCAAGAGGTAGTGCAGAATGCTTGGCATCTTCCTCAACAGGGTACCCCATTTTTCAGATTGAAGGAGAAAGTGAAGAACACTCAGATTGCATTACTCAGGTGGAGTTCCAAGTTTAAGACCCAGAACCAATCCAGAATTGCAGAGCTATCTTCAAAATTACACAATATCAGAGAAGCTGGCAGACAAGATAACTAGGCAGATTGGGTGGCTACCACTGATGAACTGGAAGCAGCACATGCCTATGAAGAGAGGTTTTGGGCTCAAAAAGCTAGGGCTCAGTGGCTGAAACAAGGTGACACTAATTCCAAGATTTATCATGCCTACACTATTGAGAGAAGAAGGTTGAATGCCATTACAAGACTTACCTCTGAGAGGAATAGAGTCCACAGCACCAAGGAGGAAATAGAAGACCACATCACAAGCTATTACTCTAATCTGTTTTCTTCTGAAGGATCTTGGGGAGGAGATTCAATGGTGCACCTCATTCCATAGACTATTTCTGAAGATATGAACCATCAACTCATGAAACCAGTGGAGGAGGATGAAATTAAGAGCACTCTCTTTAGCCTATCACCAGACAAATCTCCAGGGGAGGATGGCATGACAGCATTCTTCTACCAACACTTTTGGAGTACAATTCAAGCTGATCTGGTAGATGCTGTTCAGAGTTTCTTTCAATCTGGTACGATACTCCAATATTGGAACCACACTATTATAACTCTTGTTCCAAAATGTCAATCCCCTCTTTCCCTCAACCACTTCAGGCCCATATCTCTGTGTACTGTTGTTTACAAGATTCTTTCAAAACTTCTGGCTAGTCGATTGAAATCTTGTCTCAGCTCTTGCATAAATGCCAGCCAGTCAGCCTTCATTCAAGGTAGACAACTACTAGACAATGTGGTTTTGGCCCAAGAAGCATTTCATTTTCTTAACAGGCATAGGACTGGTAGGAACACTTTTATGGCTCTCAAGCTAGATCTTATGAAAGCATTTGACAGGGTGGAGTGGATTTGCCTAGAGAAAATCATGTTGCAGATGGGTTTTAAACTAGACTTTATTAAACTCCTGATGGTTGTATTACATCCACATCTCTATCCTTTTGTATTAATGGTGCTTTGAGTGGTACTATATATCCTACCAGGGGAATCAGACAGGGGGATCCTCTATCCCCCTATCTGTTTATCATTGTATCAGAATTGTTGTCTGCTTTAATTTCTGACTCAGTGAACAGAGGCTTGCTGAGGGGTCTGAAACTTTCTAGAAATGGACCTATATTGTCACATCTACCATTTGCAGATGATGCCCTCTTCTTCTGTAAAGCTGAGGTTTGTCAGGCCAATGAGTTAATGCAACTGCTTGAAAGATATATATTATTCACAGGCCAGAGGGTGAATTTGCTAAAGTCATCTACTTTCTTTAGTAAGAACACTCACAGCCATGTTCAGGCCCAGATATCTACTGCTCTTCAGGGGATTCAAATCCATACCTCTACTAGGTGTTTAGGCCTGCCATTGGGGATTGACAGATCCAAGGCTGAGGTGTTCAACTATGTAATTGACTCAGTCAAGTCAAAGTTGTGGAGCTGGAAAAACAAAATGATCTCAAAGGCAGGGAAGGAAATCCTCATCAAAGCAGTCCTTAATGCTCTCTCTGTCTTCACAATGTCCTGCTTGAAACTTCCCTCTTCTGTCTGCAAAACTATTTCAGCTCTCAGTGCTCAGTATTGTGGTGCCACAGTGACCCTAGAGCCAAGGGAATACACTGGAAAGCCTGGCATTTGTCAACAATTCCAAAGGCTAATGGAGGGATTGGCTTCAAAGATATCAGGTCATTCAATCAAGCCCTCATTTGCAAACAGCTGTGGAGAATTGTTACACAACCTGAGCTCCTGATTAGTAGAGTACTAAAAGATAAATACTTTCCAAACTGTTCTATCTTTGAGGCTTCTAAAACCCAGAATGGTTCTTGGCTGTGGCATACATGGCTGGATTGTCTTCCTTTGTTCTCTCAAGGATTCATAACTGAAATTAGGAGTGGGGCTGAGACTAGAATTGAGGACTTCAACTGGGTGCCTTCTATCCCATCTACCAAACCAAAACTGTTAGAAGTGGCTCGAGGTCATATTGTTTGGGTGAAGGAGCTAATGATGGAGAATGGACTGGAATGGTATGACTGGTTGGTTAAGCAGCTGTTTGATGCTCGAGACAGTCAGGCTATTCTGAATATCAAGCACTTAGATCCTACCAAAAAGGACAAGATGTTCTGGAGTCTCAATAAGCATGGAAAATTCACAGTCTCATCAACTTATTCATATCTCATTCAGCAGAAGATCCATCAACTTGATATCCCAGAATCAAGCTCCTCTTCCAGGGCTATCAGACAAGCTTGGACTAGAAGTTGACAGCTCAACATTAAAGGGACAATCAAACACTTCTTTTGGAAGTGCATCACAGACACCCTTCCTGTCAATACTAATCTTCTGAAAAGAGGACTTCATGTGAACCCACTATGTCAAAGCTGTGGTGAATATCCAGAGACTATTGAGCATGTGCTATTTCACTGTTGCAGGGCACAAACTTTGTGGAAATTGAGCCCAGTCTATTAGGATGGAGTGAATACAATGGGATGCAAATTCAAAACATGGTGGTGGCAGTTGTGCACTACTGACAAGGCTCCTATTGATGAGGACAGAATTCAACTTACCACTAATCTCCTATGGTGGCTTTGGAGATCGAGAAACTTGTGGCTGTTTGAGAGGACTTGTATGCCTATTCCTGTCGTGATCAAAAGAGCAGACAAGGAATGGTTGGAATTCCAAAACCTCTAATGTAGTCTCCCTGGATGGCTGAAGTGTGTATTTATGGTTCTTGTTTTCTGTTTTTTAGTCCTGTTTAGTATATTTGGAGTTTGTTCGTCTATGTAGTAGTTTGGGTGTTTGGGAACAAACCTGAAGGCTAGGCCTTATGCAGTGGTCTCTTAGGTTTGCTTCTTTTTTTAGTGTTGTGGTTTTAGTTTGTTGAGTTCATCTAGGCCACCTTATGGTGTGTCCTCTCATTTGCTCTTAGTTGGATTTGGATATTGGCTAGGTTAGCCACGGTCTGTATTCGAACTTTGTTCCCGATTCTGGTTATATATATTCTCTCTATCGTTTCGAAAAAAAAAAAAATTATTATATAATTTATTTATTATTATAAGTTATTTTAAAATTATTTTAATACTTTATATTATTTTATTTAATAATTATTTTATTTAAAAATTTATTTCTTATTTAGTATATTTGTATATCAAAACATATAAAAACTAATTTTTTATTACCTTTCAATAATTATAGATTTGATCCATGGGTTAAATTGAGATATAAAAGTGCAAATAGGTCCTTGTACATAATCAAATTCTCAAAGCAGATGCCCAATTTCAAGATGAAATTCAGATTTTGAAATCGCCAATAAAGCCACCTATCGATTTCACGGCTGCGATTGGAGGTGCTCAATGGCGAAACGCAGCGGTGGAGGGTCTCTCTCTTCGAACGACAGCCCGAGCGACAGGTAGTGGTTCAAATCGAAACGCCGCTCTTGTTTTCTCATTCGTCGGCGAAGTTGAAGCGAACCACCACAGTGACAGGCGAAACCGACAGTGCGTGGTGGTAGACGAGTTGACGTATCGACGTGTGAAACCCGGCGACATTAACCATGAAGAAGAGACTCGTGACAACGGCAAGGTGGAAGAAATGGCGATGACCACGGCGAATTTTGGTGCGGCAGCCGGCGGGTGTGTATGAGTGGGGTTGTATATGTGGAGGTGTGTGTGCGTGTTTAACGTGTGGCAGATGGTAGCGAGTGGGTTGGTGGTGGGTTGTGTGTGTGGGGCCCGCAATTAGGTGTGAGTCAACGGGTTAGTAGTTTGTGTGTCTGGTGGGTCCACAATAGATATGAAAAATGTCTAAAATATTTTTAATGAAGGTATAATTTTGGTTTTTTTTTTAGCCATGAGATCACCCGATCTAATGCCTACGACTTATTCTCATTTCTTTCACTAAGCACCATTCTCATTGAACCCAACCCTCATATATATATATATATAGGGTCACGCTCCAGTGAGAATGACTCTTAATGCGAGAAATGAGAATAAATCATAACCACTAGATCCGATGATCTAAAGGCTAATAAAAAAGTCAAATTTATACCTTCATTAAGGGTAATGTAGTAATTTTCTAAACATTACCAAATATTGTGGGCCCCAATACACATTTAATTAAGCTTCCAACTACCCATTCAATCGGTCAACCCCAACCCACCTCATCTCACCCCAACCACCCCCTTCTCTCTCTCTCACACTCTCTCTCTCTCTCTCTCTCTCTCTCTCTCTCTCACACACACACGCACTGAACTGATACATGCACCACACACACACGTTGCCTCTGTTCTTCCACCATCCCTAGCGCCGATCGCCATCTCTACTCTTCCTGCCGGCGACCTCCACTACCCTCCAGACAAGCTGCAGAACCACCGCTGTCGGTGACGGTGCAGACCGTCGGATAGCGAAGCCCGACCGCCGCAATGGATCCGCCGCCAGCCATCGTCCACTGACACACACGTACTCATTCTCCGGCGGATCCAGAACTTCCCCCCGCCGCCGCCCCTTATCCGACGCCGACACCTCCTTCATCTTCCACTTTTTCCTCCCAGCGATCGGTTTTTCACCGACGTCGACGTCGTCTTCATCCACGTCAGCCGCAACGACGCCATCACCAGAGAGATCGAGTCGTCTTCAGATGTTCACGATCTCAGTCGTCTCGCGAGTTTGATATTGACGGCAGAAGGTGGCCAGAATGTGCAGAAGTCTCCGGTGGTCCTCCGATCCGCCGTTCGTCTTTCACGTCTATGAATCGGTTCCGCCATCGAGCGCCTCCGTCGATGGACGGTACGATACGGCGGCTGGGGGTGGTGTAGTGGTGGACGGATGGCAGATTGGCAGGTGCGTGTTGTTGAAACTGTTGCAACATTAAATTGGGGCTAGGGCTTTTTCAATGAGAATTATATATATTTGAGGGACTTGTTTGCAATTTTTACAAAAGTTAAATAAGATGTCATTTAATTAATGCTAAAATTTGTAATTTATCACAAAAAATATAATAAGTGCACAATTTTGCTGATTAAATTGTACAATATTGTGTACGGATACACACTTTAAAATTACGTGTGTTGCAGTAATATTATACGGAATGCACATTAATAAATAAAGTATATATATAATAAAATAATATAAAATATTAAATAATATAAATTATTTTATAATAGTAAGCAAATTATTAAATAAAAATAATATAAGATATTAAAATAATATATTAATTTGTAATAAAATTTGAATTATACAATAACAATAATAAATAAAGAACTATTTTAATTATTTAAGTTAATTTAATGTACAATTATACACGTAATTTATCTGGGAGGGCATAAATTAGCTAGTGCACTTTATATATAGGAATGTCGCACGTTATAAAACATCATGATGCACTTTATAGAACAATATGTTGCACTTTATCACATTATCTATCTACCAAAAAATACAAGCATGCTAACGTACTAATTCAACATATTGCACTTTATACCGTAATATATTGCTCATTATAATACAACGTGTTGCACCATATAAAATGACTTGATGCACATACTAAAATGTCAGCAACATTAATAATCAATCGAATAATATTAGTTGGTTAATTGTCAGATATAGTCGTTTTTAAATAAATAAAATAATTGAATATGAATTCGGTACAATTTTTTTTATGTTGATTCGAATATTGTTATTATTTTTTTATATATTAATTAATCCGGTAAAATGTCATTTTTTTTAAATAACCAAAATAAAAAACAAACTATATTAAAAATATTATTTTATATATTTTTTGTATAAAAAATAATAAGCTATGATTTTTCTAGTGAAATATAAAAAATTAGTATTGTGCATTTATATTTCAGTGCAATTATTATTTTTATTATTTTTATACTTATAAAAATTAGTAATGAACATTATAGATCGACGCATTGCACTTTGTTAAATAACACGTTACACTTTACAAAACACCACGATGCACTTTATCGCGATTATCATATTGCACAATATAGATCGAAACGGACCGAACTCGATTTTTTTTTTTTCAAACACTAATAATGTAAAAATAATAAATCAAAATATTAACAAAAATGATTATGTTCATTTTCAACTCTATTTGGGACAAAAAAGTTCGGTTGGTTCAATCTGCTGCACAATACAGACAGTCACCGTGCACCATAGTGTTGAACGTAATGCACCTTAATAATTCTTATATTGCACAATATATTCCATTTATATGATATATTAATTTTTTTATGAAAATGTAATATATAATATTAAATATTAGACACTAATTTATATTAAATAATATAATTTATTTCGATTATTTTTTGTTATTTCGGTTAATCAACACATTAAACTTAAAGATTTATAAAAACATAATATATTGTGCATTAATTATACTTTTGTTATATTACAGATTTCCCTCAATTAATAAATTGAAGTAAGTGAAACTTCAAAAATTTGCAATCAAACCCCCACAACATGTCAAATTTCCAAAATATAACCCCACAATTCCAAACCAAATATTCAGCCGGCCATCTCCCCCACCTACGTCTGAGCTTACTCCCGACGAACAGTCACCGCCACTATGCTCACCCTCCGCCGTCTCAATCGCCCAACACTGCTCTGAGCTAAAAAACAGAAAAAAAAGGCTAATCGGCCATAAAATTTTTACAGATCGTCGCCGACTTTGTGCCGGGGACGAGATCGATAGCGGTAGCGACTCGGTAGCGGCGACGCGACTTCAGGAGCAATGATAAACGACGGTGAAGGCTCGCCAGTTAATGTCGCCGGAGGTGGCGACCTTCTTCCCGTTGTCGGATCTGAGCATCGGGGTCGGCAATTGATAAGATAAACACGGCGGCAGCGACGCAGTGACAGCAACGCAGAGGCAGGGCATCTATAACGGCCACCGACGAGGACGACCACACAGCCACCGGGCGAGATCGACCACACATGCCACGTACGATGCCGGAATCAGAGTGTTCTCTACTTCGACGGCGGCGGGCTGGTGACTGCGGCGGCGACGATTTTGACATCTGGCGGCGGCGACACGGTTTGACGGCAGCGGGCCAGCTGAGTTTGTGTGTGCGTCGATGACATCTGGCGGCGGCGACACGGTTTGACGGCAGTGGATCCAATGAGTCCACCCCTTAAAATGTGCACGTGAGACCATCATCTGAGCCGTCAGATCTGCCTTTCAGATCTACACTCAGAATCAAACATATAAATATAACAAATAAAACAGAATTAAAATAGATCTCCATCTCCGCTCGCAACAAAATCAGAAAAATATCTAAACTTTCCTTCTCAATCACGATTCTGTACGATTTCCTTCTCATACTCGATTTCGATTTCATCGACTAATTAGGTTTAAGTATCCTTTTTAATCTATTCGATAGACAAACTCAACTGCGGTTCATAAAGTTCATCAGATTTATCACACAAAATCGGCGAAAGCAACTTCAAATGGAGATCGAAGCAACTCTAGTTGCAACATTAACGGAAGAAGTTATAGTGACATTTTTTTCCAAATGGATTCATCTAAATTTAAAATAATCAATGCTGATGAATTATACATTGATGAAATCGAGTTATTTAATAAGAGAGCACATAATATTGAAAAATATGTTGTTCGTGCTTATCTGCAATTTTGATTTGTTGAAGAATCTCTGTTTTCTGACATAAATATTAAATATGCTGCAATTTAGAAATACATATGCATGTAGAATTACTAAATGTGCAACTGTCTATTGATAAGCATGCAAAAAAATTGTCTGTTGCACAGGTCTACTTATACATTAGATCGATATATATAAAACAAACTTTGCATGAAAGAATAACTAATTGTGCATGAAAGAGTAACTAAACTTGCATACGTATATCAATATGCACGTAATAAATATGCATGAAATATCTTGGCAAGTATGCACGTTATAACTGCAGTTTCATTCAATGAGTCATTCTGGATTATAACTATATATGCAACGCTTTAATTATAAAAATGCATATGGGTTGAACTAAGAATGCAATTTTATTGAACTAAACATGCAACAGTTCTAAAACTTAATTTTCTTCTTATATTTTGTAGTAGATACTGCTCATGAGGGATCTCATATTCAGTTGGTGATATCACCAAATTTAACAAAGTATTGGATACTAATCGTCCAACTAGATATAAAGCCTAAAGTCGGTATGTTGTTTCTAAACCTTGATATTGCAATGGATTTTTACAGAAACTATGGGGCAAACGGTGGATTTGATGTGCGGACTAGCACAAAAAAAAACGATTTAGAAGTGGCGTAGTAAGTAAACAGTATATAGTTTGCAATAGACAAGGATTTAAGCCAAAAATTGAACAAAATACTTCAAAGAGTATGCCACAACTACCTCATGAGTTATGTGGAGTTCAACGACAACGTGTGTCGAAAAGGGTTGGTTTCAAAGCTCGAGTAATATTTAAGTATGATGGAAATGGATACAAAATTGTAGAATTTGAAGAAAGACATTGCCACAGTCTAGTACTGGAGACACTTTATCTCAATGCAAATCGGCAATTGAATTACGGACACCGGAAATTTGTTCTTAATTGTGTGAAAGCAAACATTGGACCAGCTAAAACCCATAGGTTATATAAGGAAATGCTTGGGGGATATGATAATGTTGGTGCTCTCGCAATTGATTTCAAGAACTATAAGAGAGAACTTATGACTTACATGCCTGGAGCAGATGCGCAACTCATCATTCAGAAATTCCACAACAAACAAGAAGTATGCCCAGACATGGCATTTGAGTATGCAGTTGATGGAAATAACCAATTAAGCAGGATATTTTGGGCAGACCCAATTTCAAGAAAAAATTACCTGGTGTTTGGAGATGTCGTCTCATTTGATGCAACTTACAACACTAACAGGTACAATTCAGTTCTACTCAGCTCTTATTGGTAACTATTGCATATAAAAACAACAAATATCTTATTGATTTAGTTGTGAATGTCACATTAAATATGCAACAGGTATGAAATAATTTAACAATTTAATAGTTTGTGATAATACAAACTATGCATCACCTTGAAACTATGTATGCAACATTATAGAACTATTCTTGCATGATTATAAAACTAAATAAGCATTTCGGTATCAAATAAGTGATTTTATTTTAAGACAGTAGTCTGCATAACTGTCTGCCAAAGCTTGTAGCTATTTGAAACTAATTTTGCAACATAAGACAACTAAGTATGCATGAAGACAGAATTAAAAATGCATATGTTTAAATTTTGCGAGACCTAATTAAATTTTGTTATTTTTTTATATACAGGTACAAAATAGTGTTTGTCCCATTTACTGGAATAGATAACTATAAAAAGTGTGTAACATGTGCAGCTGGGTTAATTGTTAAAGAGGATGAAGAATCATATATTTGGCTGTTGGAAAATTTCTTGAAGGCTATGGGACATGAACCATATTACGTTGTTACCATCATAGTCTGGAATAGTTATATTACCCCTTGTGAATTTGAAGAAAAATGGGGAAATTTGATGAATGATTTTGCCTTAACCGAAAATCAGCGGTTTCGTAATCTGTGTGAGATTAAAAAGTCATGGATCCCAGCATATTTTAAAGATGTGAAAATGGGCGGTTTGCTTAG